TACCACATATTCTAGGGTTTTGGGTTTTGGGTTTAGGGAATTGGGTACATTAAAATAAGATCCCCATATACCCCGTAATCTATCTACTTAAGGGGGACTATAAGCCCAATATATATACCCTGTTATAATGTAGTGGTTTCCATTTTCTTTTCCATCATCCCTATATAACCCCAAGAGTATGCCCCATAATCTATCTACTTAAGGGGGACTATAGCCCTAAACCCTAAACCCTAAAAAGTAGTTTCAATATTCTTTTCCATTATCCTAATATAACCACCCATATTCTCCCTACTTAAGGGGGACTATACTTTCTAGATCCTTCCAGGGGTTTGGGCACAGGCCCCCTCGGCGTCTGAGGCTTTGCCCAGTTCCTTGTCAAATCTTTGAAGCCTTGAGGAGGCATGGCAACCCGCAAAACACTATGGGCTATTAGACTTTTAGGGTACCTTAATCTACCCTTAATAGGGTCTTAATAGGGAATTTTAGGGTCTAATAGCCCATAGTGGAAGGCCTCCATATTCCTGATTCACCGCGTCTTCTCTTAGGAATCTGCCCCATCTCCGGCCTCTCTGCAATTTTCAGCGGGAAAACATGACTCGCGGCGGGGTATGATAGCTACACCCGAAGCCGAAACGAGACCCAAATGAACAACCTTGAAACAGCATTGCTTATTACACAGGTTTTGTAGCATCGTGTCTTGAACTCACAAGGTATAAGATTTGCTTAGGAGAAGCTGCAAACCTAAAAAATCCTAGGATAAAGCCCTAGCCGCAAACCCACGACCCCAAATCCTACACTCAAACCCGAACCTCTGTATAAGCTCTAAACCCATGTCTACAAATCAGGAAAGAAAGGTCACTCACCCCGAGCCCTAAACCCAACCCTGAACCCTAACCCTAAACCCTAAACCCTAAACCCAACCGGAAGCCCTAGAGCCGGTTCCGAAGCAGGCATGCGTCACCAAATACATTTGAGGATATCAGGGCTTAGGGGTTAGGGTTTGGGGTTTAGGGTTTGGGGTTTAGGGTTTAGGGTTGGGTTTAGGGTTTAGGGTTTACAGAGGATTTAGGGTTTAGAGTTTAGGGGTTAGGATTTAGGGGTTTAGGGTTTAGAGATTAGGGGTTAGGACTTAGGGTTTAGGGATTAGGGGTTCAGGTTTAGGGACCAGGGCTATGTTGCAAGTTTAGGAGGATTATAGGGGTCTCATTCAAGATTCTATAGGGATTGCTCTTGGGTCTAATGTAGGTGCTTACATAACTAGACAAGATTTTTTTTGCGAGTAGTTTCCGTTGAAGAGCCAGGATTATCACGAAATTCCATTGGTACCCGTTTTAGCTCCTTCAGTAAATCCTAGAAACTCGACTTCTCATCCCCAAACCCTTCACGTGGTGCTCTGTGGGCCCTTACGTACATATGTACACAGACTGACAGAAAGTGAGGCGGAAGAAAAAGACAACTGAAAGATGCATATGTATGTGGGAGCTTCCCATGGCAAGCAGTGCCTATAGTAGAATCCTTGTTGGGGCCCTATAGTCCTCACGAACTTCACATACATCGCTGCGGTCCCCAAGATTACGTAGCCCCCATTTTTTTAAAACCCCAACAGTGCCTAAACTGTAAACCCGAAAGCTTAACCCTTAAACCCTGTGGTGTATTGCGCTAAAACCCCCCAAACTCATGGAAGACAATCCTAAACCCTAAATCCTTTCCCTAAGCCCAATATACTATAGGTCCCCAAATAACCCGAATAATTGGGGTCCCCAACCCTAAACCCTAAACCCAAACCCCAATAATTGGGGTTCCCAACTTCGGAGTTGGTCAATGCGCAGTTGAGTATCCTGCAGCCGAAGCAAACGGAAGAACGGATGGATGCGAGGGTCTAGGGTTTAGAGTATAGGGTCTAGGGGTCCAGGGTTGAGGCTTTAGAAGCTTAGGGTTTGGGGGTTTGGGGTTGTTTCTCAAGTCAGAAAGTACCCTTTTAGGACCTAGGGATATGTAGGATTGTGAGGTGCTCCGGGAATTTCTAAGGGTACCGGGCTCAGGGAAGGTTTGAAGCCGGTATGGTTTACATAGGGTTTAGGCCTTTGACATCCCTATATCAGTTTCTTGCCTCGGCATGGCCAGCTAAAGCCGATTGAGACACCTTCTCAGTACCTCTCATGGTCTGTGTGATTTCTCAAAGCAGCGGCGAGTATGACCCTGAACCCTAAATGGTTTAGGGTTTAGGGTTTAGGGTTCCATTGAAACAACTGCTCATGTGGAACTTGCCGGAGCTTTTTGTTCAGTTCCAGACTCTACGGGCTCATGGTTTAGTGTTAAACGCTTTAAACCCTAAACCCCAAACCCTAGACCCCTAAACCCTAAACTCCTAAACCCTAAGCCATGAAACCCTAAACCCTAAATCCCCAAATCCCCAAAACCCTAAACTCGTACTAACCCTAAACCCCTACATAACCTCAAGCCTCAAGGCCTTAGGGCTTATGAGGACCCTCATACAGGCATCCCTAAGTTTGGAAAAACCCGCATATGTTTTTGTGACATGGGTTTAGGGTTTAGGGGTTTAGGGTTTAGGGTTTAGGCTTTGAGGCAAGCTACGTGTTCCTCTGCGCCGTAGTATGTACGTTAGTCCTTACAGGCACCCACTGGATCTGCTTACAATCCCTAAATGAGCCATAATCTAAACTCCTTAAGGGAGGTGATATAGGGGTCTATATAGGGAACTACGATAGGGGTTATTAAAAGGTATACTAGGATTTTACGTAGACTGTGGCTCCAATGGTTCCAAGGGTTTCTTGGGAAAGGTCTGAAAAATGACCGTCCGGCCTGCAAAGCGGCCTCCGAACGTTCGAGAGTCCACGCCGCCTCGCAGAGGCTTGTGAAGATTACAGGGCCCTGGTAGTGAAGAGCTTGAGAGGTCACAGTCACCCTGTCATCCTCGAGCATTTCAGTGTTTATGATGTTAGAAGATGGGAAACCTTTCGAATATGGCCTTGGATCCCATCTCCTGCCTACGGGGCGGGGGCTTTTTAGTGTAGAGCCGATGGGCTCTATTGAGACTGACTCCAGGCAAGCTCCGATCAGCCTTTAGGGGGTAGCGGGCTTTAGGTTTCTGTGCAAACAGGCTGAAAACTGTTCGCAAGTGATAAAGCATAGTTATGGCCCCCTCACGGGACAACCCCAAAGCTTAAGCCCTAAACCCTAAACTCTAAACAACAAACCCAACATCTCAAGACCGTGCATCGTCGATCCTGCTACAAACGCCGGTCCCTGAGTCCTTAAATGCAATGCCAATCATCAGCTTTATGCTTGAACCTCAAACGACCACTTGCAAACTCGCAACCCTAGATGTCGCACCCAAAGTCCCAACCAGTAACTACATCCTACTGGGTTTCAGTAGGGAAAAAAGGGGATATAATCCCTATGCAATCCTCATGTAATGTTGTCCCGTATTCCCTACTAAGAACCAGAAAGTGTCAACTCCAAATCCTACATACCACGTCCAAACCCTAGCCGTGTTAAAGACCGGAACAGCCCTGGGGACAAAGAACGCCTCGCGGTTCTCGGCGATACTGGTGGCCTCGGAGGCCTTGCAGCATCAGACGGTTGTGGGGTCAGCGGTTTAAGTGCAGTGCTGAGTGGCCTTGGGGTCAAGGATTCATTAGCTGAGGATTTAGGTGCTTACGGCTTAGGATCAGTGACCCGAGGCGGAGGACACGACGGTTTCTGTAGAGATTGTACTCCAGATCTCGAAAGTTCTAGAACATTTCAAATCACAAGATCTTGATCACAATTGGGCGCTTCAGGGGATTTTATGATTGGGGGTCAGTGGTTTAAGGGTTGGTACCCACTTCCCTCATACTGGGTTGCTGTTAAGGAACTTACTGGGGAAACCCTATTATTTACTATATATACCCATTATGGTAACTTAATTTACATTCCTTAACAGCAACCCAGTAATAATCCTAAACCCTAAACCCTAAACCCCAAACCCTAAACCCAGCATACTCCCCTTCCCAGCACAGCTTGTCTACTGCACCTCTGAAGCCGAGCACCACAAAGGGCAACCTAATCCCGAGGCACAGAGTCATGATTTCCCACCTATCGGGTTAGGGTTTAGGGTTTAGGGCTTAGGGTGTATGGTTTTGGGTAGCAGGAAGGCCTTATGAAGGACAACCTGCCCTCAACAGGCGCAACAGATGAATCTGCTTGGTTGTGATCGGAAACAGACTTCTGTTTGTACACTAACGGCTTCTACCATTTACTATCACTATTGACTATGATGCAACGCGACTCTTGAGAGGCAACCACTGCTTTGCACGGAGTGTTTCTGCCCCATGGCTAGCTGTACCACATGTCATGCTCTTGGAATTCCAAAATGCAACTGGCGCTTGCTGTACTCCATGAGCAAGATCGTGACAATGTCTTTCTCAAGCCGCTCAAGTGACAATTGCCAGCTGCAGGTGATACCTAGAACCTAGATGGGCATGTCCAAGTCACATGTCGACGGACTTACGCCCAAAGAGTGAGATCTGCAAATCAGGACTCCGGAAATCAGACCTGCAACGTCTGGAGCCCTTTACCTGAAAACATATCCTTCATAAGATGGCATGACAAGAGCTACGGTTCAAACAAGACGCACTTGTGGTAAAAGACGGTCTTCGGTGCCATCAGAGGCTGTCTAACTGATAGGCTCATCTGTCTCTTCATAGACCCCTGAACACCACTGAGGACTGGTGAAATGTGGCACAACCTTGTACACTACGGAAGATGCACCGTGGGAATTCCACTTTTGGGGGAATCCTAGGTAATTGGGGCAAGAAAACCCACGTCGCCCGCAGGGTCTTGTCCAGAACGCGTAGCACAAAGCAACTCTGGTTTTTGAGACGCGCGATGGAACTCGGCTCACAAAATAATGCAGACGTAGCTCAAGACAGATTGCCATGATTCACTTGTGGACCGTATGGCACATCATCTATAGGAAGACGTCTACGCACAATGAATTAATTCCATTTGTGAGCCCACTGCGGGTAGTTGTCTCGGAACTCTTGCCGGAGGTCCGAGATGAGATAAGATCTTGTGTCCGGATGGGTTTCTTGCTTCATAATTTCGCTGCGGGACTTCTTGTAGTCTTCCCAAATCTGTCTCCACTCCGTAGGTCCACCCCACCAGCGCATGATTTCATGGTAGACTGCCCTGGCATTGCTTGAGAGCCATCCGAAGATGCCACCAGTCACAAGCATCAGGGCGCTGCTGAAGCCATCCGCCACTTGGATTCCTGTGGAGATCCCAGATGGAGTGAACATCAGCAGGGCCTAGGTTTACTCCAACGTCAAGGTCCAAGGGTGCATGACATGGGTTGAGGGTTCTGATCCGTACAAACACGCTTGCTTCTGCAGTAGCTCCAGTCTTGAACTCAACGAGCACGCTGTTGATTATTTGAGGGTTATGCTTTTTGCATTACGAGACCTCACTGGTCACGAGCAAATGTGTACCAGCAGAACATGAAGCTTACATCTCAGTCCCGTGAAAGAAACATGTGACCGAACTCCAGACTAAACATCATCATCGGCACCACTGACCTATAGTCTAAACTCCTTAAAGGGGGGTTATATAGGGGATTATATAGGGGACTACTATAGGGGTTATTAAGGGGGATACTAGGAGTTTAGACAATGGCTCACTAGACTTGAACTCTTGCAACATGGGACATCGTGGGAGACCGAGCGGCTAGAAACAGAAGTGATGAACCACTGTGACGGATCATCTCGACTGTTCTGCACCTTTGCAGCAGTTGTTGGCATGCAAAAATTAAAGACTGTCAGGCTTTCAGGCGACCCTGGTTTGTCTTGAAGAAAAAACTCCAACAAACGGATATCGATACTTAGTAGTTAGTTTCCATGAATGCAAGGGATCCGCGTCTAGACCCCAGTCTACTAGAATCCTTGTTATGGGGACTCCCCAAACAGGGACCCTGATCTGCAGGAGCCTGCACTTCTCAATGGCTTTTAGAGGCTTCAACCTTGAGCCAGTGAGCCCTTGAGCAATTCCCCAAAACATAGGGTTTAGGGTTCTGTAGGTGATTGTATATATTGGGATTATATGGGGAGAGTGGAAAAGAAAATGGAAACTAATTACTATAATGGTTTGGGATTTAGGGTTTAGGGTTCAGGGTTCAGGGTCATTGCCAGGCGGCGCTTGCCAACGAAGCAGGCTGGTTTGTCTGGGTAACGTTGGCAAGCTAGAGCCGAAAGTTGCATTGTACGTTGGGATATAACAATAGCTATGAGGGGAATGTAGGGTTACAGTCCCCTTTAAGTAGATAGAATATGGGGTATATGGGGATAATATTAAAATATACCCAAGGCCATATTCTATCTACTTTGGGTGGGACCATACGTAGGGAGATACCTGCAAGCATTGTGCCTTGAATGAAGCTGCTTGTAGAGAGCCAACATGAACATCTGGGTTTTTTCCCCAAATTAGGGGTACTCTTTGGGAGTCCTTAAGGATTATAGTATATTGGCAATATATTGGTGTCTATATTTTTGTCCTTTTATTTCCGGAAACTACCACCTGTCTCCGGACCTTCCGTCATGGCAGGGTCATGACCCACGACCCGCACAAAGCCTCCTGCAACCCCAAACAGCAGTTGGGGTGTTGCATCCTTGTATCCCACAGTCATGCTGCCTGTTCTGGCCTCAAAAGGGGTCCCTTTTCAATCCCCGTGTTGAATATGTGATGTCCTGCAGGGCCCTTCCGAGAAAACCCATGCTCAATGTATTGAAAAGCCGGCAGCTCCACGTTCAACTTTCAGAACAGCTAAAACTTTTCCAGGAGGTTGGCACTGAGCGATCGCAGGCCTGTTCTGCGAGCAGCTGGTGCTTCTTTTGCTCCCAGCAGCGGCCTCTAGGAAATGTCAAGCTTAAGCACCAGGGTTTAGGGTTGAGACGGTCTTGAGGTTGGGGTTTCTCAAAATGAGGTACCAGCAGTTTGCACTAGACTGTGTAGGGCTTAAGGTCGAGGATACAGGGTAAAACCCATATTTCGCGTGAGGAAGTGAAGCCCTCGAGCCCTTGACCGTACATGTGTAAGTTGTCAAAAGTGCGTTGTTTTTTTTTGCGGGCCGCATGGATCCTGGGGGTGTGCGAGGATTTCAAGGTCACTGCTGGGGTCTCTACCAAGGATCAGATAATGGCTACTTTGAGAAGTCTGCGTTTGAGGGCGTACAAAATGAAGGAAGGGTTACGGGAAGCGGTACCAGAAAGGAACACGACTAGTACTCAGGTAGGAAAATCCCCGTGCGGTTCAGGGCTCGGGGTTAAAGCGTCCCTCGTTTCAGGGTCTAGAGTGTAGAAATTGAGTCCTTACAAGTATGGAAGTGGGGGGTCCCAAAATGTTTTGCTAACGTCATTGGCATCATTGGGGGCTTCTTGAGTCTGGTGTTTGAGGTTTGAGGCGTGGTGTGCAGAATCTAAAGTAAGGGGTTAAGGCTTGCGGTGTTAGCCCTATCCGCTGACGTCAAAATATTCCTGTCAAAGATCTTTTAACCGAATGCTGGCTATCAAAACCAAAGCGTCACCACTAGCTTCCCCAGAAGTCCTCGTCATGTCGAAGCCAGGCAGCACCAATCATGGAATAACTATTCAGGCACCTGGCCCAAGGTAATGGGGCACTGTAACTCAAACATGGGGAACAGTTACCCACAATTATTGTCTTATGGTGTGCAAGTACATGCTCTCTCTGGTGCTGGGCCGAGACAAGGCTTAGGGTGCGGGCTGCTAGCATTGCGATTATATACGGTTTAAGAGGCAAAAGATAATGGAAAATGAAAGGGAAACTGGCCTATACAGGGCTCCTCCAACTATAGGGTTTAAGGAATAACTTCCTCAATAATGGAGAACTAAACCCCATCCAGAAGCCCCGCAACTTCTTTGTACTTTGCGTTTATTCCTGGTGGGTCATCTTCTGGACCACTCTCATAATGAGAGTTACGTGAAATTAGCATAGCGATTGGTTCCTTCACTTCACTACCTACCCTAAACCTTCCACCCGCAGCCCTGAACCCTCTACCCTACACCAAAACCCGAACTCCCCGTAGTCTATGCTAAGCCCAAAACCCCAAACACAAGGGCCGGGCATTCGTCTTGCAGCTCCGCTTTGCGCCTCGGAGCGGCTTCTTTGGTCGTGGGCTTTGAGACCCTCCGGTTGAGGATTCAAGGGTTTAGGTTCCAGGGCTTAGGGTTTCGGAAGGTGGTGTTTTTTTTGAAGCTCTTTGGGGATTATGGAGCGTTGATGTGAGGACATCTGGTAGTTTGTCAAACCTTTTGGAGTACCCTGCAAAGGGGCCGTATCATAACGGAGACCCCTAAATGAGGCTGTACTTTGGATAACCTTCCCTATAGAGACAATCAGGGTTAAGTGGCTTTTCAGAATCTGAATTATGGACATTTCCTGGGGCCAGCATCATGAACATTCTTGTTTTTACTACATATATATATACACATACATACACAGATTATACACATATGTATACGGGGCCGAATTTTGGAAAACTCCCTCATCAGGCTCAAGACGATGGGACTATACAGCGGGGCAGTAACAACGTAGGACAGAATAGCAAGGGGATTGAAGTTACCCCAACCCCTCAAATCAGGATCCTATTCTTGTTGTTATAGAGTCCTTATTACAGGGTTTAGGGTAGCTGAAACCAACCTTTTTTTTTTTTTTTTT